TACCTGTCAACTTTTCCACAAATCTGTCCTCTTCTGTCTCCTCCATCACCACTCCTGTCTAAAATATTTTCACCTGACTGGTGGGGTAGGACCACTGGCCTAATGTTAATTTATCCATACCCCCCTCCACCAGCCCCTCTCTGAATTTTTGTTTTGTTTTGTTTTGTTTTTTGTTTAGCTTTGTTTTTTGAGACAGGGTCTTGCTTTGTAGTGCAGGCTGGCCTTGAATCCAATATGTAGCCCAGAGTCGCCTCAAAATCACAGTGATCCTCACAAGCATGGGCCACCACTCCAGGCTCTAAATCTTCACACAATAGAGTGATTTTTAAAAAATACTTTACAATGTGACCCTGTCACTTCCCAGTGTAACCACTTCAACCGCTTCCTATTCTAACTAACCAAGCCCTGCATGGTAAGGCACCTTTCCCACCTCCTCACTAGTCACACAGTCCATCCTGCTCTTTTTGCTCCAGCCCCACTGACTTCTATTCCTTTCTATCAACTTTCTCCTTACAGAGGGTTTGCTCACACTTTGTTCTCTGCCTGGAAAGTTTGTCCAACCCTCATCTTTCTGACCCCAGCCTTAGTCTCCATTTCTGAGAAGCACCTGCTGATCCTATGTTGGTCCCTTACTCTAGCCAGCTTTCGTGAAACTGTAATTTTATGCCTATTTTGGTGAATTTTTGTTTCTCTCAGTAGACAACTAGCTTCATAAGGCCAAGCTATTGGTTTGATTCACATTTACACTTTTGTATTTCTTCAATAAATATTTGCTCAGTAGATGAAAATCTTGATGTTAGAACTTAAAGTAGATGTGTCTTAAAGGTTACCTAAGCCACAAAATGTAAAATGTCACAATTTGACATTTGTAATCACAGTTAAAAAAAATAGTTATTTTAAAACTTATATTGTAGTGTTTGAGCTGGTCGGTCACAAGATTGTTTGGGTACCCCTTAAAACCAAGTTCTCAAAATGGTCTATATAAACCCCTGAATTAATGATAGCTATGGGACAGGCCCATGTGAAACTAATAACATTGGTTGCTTCAAGAGAGGAAGACTGAGTGACTAGGGGTCAGGGATGGGAAGGAGACTTTTTATTGTGTACCTAAAAGATTTGAAACAAGCCTGTAATCCCAGCACTTGGGAGGCTGAGGCAGGAGGATCACCATGATTTTGAGGCCTGCACATAATACATAATGAGTTCAGGGCCAACCTGAACTATATAATGAGACCTTGTCTTAAAAAAAATCCAAAAAAACTGTACCTTTTAAATTTTAAGCATGTGAATCTTTACCTATTTGAAAATAAATGATATCAGGGTACATACTGTGTAAGTCTACTTACTTGAAATTCCAGAAAAGGTGAAACTAATTATGGTGGGGAAAAAATCATAATGGGGCTGGAAGTGCAGCTAAGTGGTGCAGCATGTGCTCAGCATGCACAGCCACCCTGGGCACAATCGCCAGTGCCACACATACACACAGAAATTGGGAAACCATAGTTAATCTTAAACTGCTCAGGATCCCCAACACCTTGCACAGTCACTGTTCAATGTAGTTTGAATAAATGATGAAAAACAAGCCTGGTGTTGACTTTATTGATAAAATTGTATT